GGAATGTATGATACAGGAGTGTGGGCTCTGGGTGGACACATCCTCTGGGCTGTATGGGGAAAGGCATGGCTTGAGGAGGACCAGATCAAGGCTCTCTAAAGATTGGAGCCCATAGAGGTGGTCCTGTTGCCCTAGTCTAATGGCAGTACTACCTGGGGTAAAACCCCAACTCCAATAAAGGGTAGATATAACCAAACAAGAGTGAAGTCCAGAAAGCATGCTTCTTCCTTCGTCTAAAAACCAAAGATTTAAGTTTTATACTTCAAGAGCTATCAATGTGGAGATTAAGAAAAAGAAACCTTGCAGATACAATGAACAAAATACCACTATTTTTTGTGAGATTATGTCTATTGCGAGAGGAGCCCTAGTGGTGGCATGGTGGTTGCACGCTTGGCTGCTAACCAAAAGGTCGGTGGTTCAAATCTACCAGCCACTCCATGGGAGACAGATGTGGCAGTCTGCTTCTGTAAAGATTACAGCCTTGGAAACCCTATAGGGCAATTCTACTCTGTTCTATAGGGTCGCTATCAACTCAACGGCAGTGGGTTTGGTTTTGGTTTTTGTCTAGTGCCAAGATAGACACTGAGTCTTAGAAGACAAATAAGCTGAATAAAATACTCTCCTCATTTGTACAATAGAAACAATAATTGTCCTATTCCTCGAAGACTGTTAGGAGGAGTAAATAAGTTATTATCTATGAAGTTTTTAAAAAAACTGCTGAGAGCAGTCCATAAGTGCTGAGTTATTATCATTGTTGTTTCAAAACTTTATAATCCAATGAAGTAATGCTGATAAATAGTCAACTATAATGAAATATGATGATGTGCAAAGTGCTATAATAAGAGTATAAGGGAATGGTTAATTCTGCCTCTGGAAATCAGAACATCACAGAGAAATTAACGGATAAGTGGCTTTTTAAGATTATCTGTTTAGACAAAGCAAAATAATGGTAGGAAAGGCATTACATGAGGAAGGGAAAGCATGGTTACAAGTGCTGAAAAGTTCCATTGCATGGCGAGGTGAAGGGAATTTGAGTAATCTAGTGTCAGCAAATTCTGAAAGGAGGACCACAGTGGGGGAAGATAAGCCTGAAAGACGTCGATAGAGCAGTACTGTGAACAAGTTGTCTTTATCCTTTAAGCAATATAGAAACTGTGAAGGGTTTAAAATGGCTTGTCACATCCTCAAATATATATTTTAGAAAATACAGTTTGTGGGGCATCACATTAAAGGGATAGGGTAATGTTAGGTGGTGGTTGTTGTTGTTGCTAGGTGCCATCAAGTTGGTTCTGACTCATTGTGACCCTGTGTACACCAGACACACTGCCTGGTCCTGTGCCGTCCTCACAATTGTTGCTATGCTTGAGCCCACAGGGTAACAGAGAAACTAAATACAGCGAAACTAGTAGAGTATTATATTCCCAAAAGGAGATGATAAAGGCCTGACTTGGAGAGAGGTAAAAGTGAGTAGAGAGAAGACAGATTCTGGTGATATTTTGCAGATAGAATCAAGTAGAATTAACAAGACTTGGTAACTGATTGAATATAGGGGAAATGGAGTCCACATTCAATCGTTTCAAGCCTGGGTGACCTGAATGGCTTTGTTCAGAGAGACAGGAGACGTAATAAGGAGCAGTTTTTAGCAGTGAAGAAAACAAGTTCAGTGTTGGTTTTGAGGTATCCCTGGTATATTCAGGGTGATATTTTCATTAAGCGGTTGGAAGTACTGTTAGACTGATAAAATTGCTCAGGAAATCTACTGAACAGAATTAATGTTAAGGTGGGTGTATTTCAAAGCCTATCTTTGAAAGCCTGGTCATAGCAAAATAAAACTTTGTAATAAGCTGTTTGGACTTTGGTAACCAATGTTAACAGTGGCATTATTTCACAGGTATTGCTATTCTAAATTTGAGAGTTGCAAACCAAAAAAAGTTGACATGTAAACGGAAAAACAGCTAATTCAAGAAATGCTAGAAAATTATGAAAACTGCCATTTAAATGAGAAACTGCTAGTAAAATAAATGTAAAATATACTAAGCAGTAAAATTTAGAGTAATCAAGACTCCCTTAAATATACGCCTAACTGAATAATGTAATAATTCTAAAGACACAATATATTTATCTTACCAAAAAATATAAAAATACACTCACAAGGGGAAAAAGGGAGAAGACAGAATGTTGGAGACTGCTCCTCCCTCTGAGGGGTGGATAGGTGTGGGCAGAGATGGGAGGCCACTACAAGGATCATATGGCTATGTTGTCTAAGGCCTGGAGAATCAGCCATCAAGGCAAAAGAGTAATCATAAGTGTTCTTGATATTTTTATCCTGAAATACTTGCTCCTGCAAAGTCAAGGACTGAACCATCACTCCCATGGCTTTTTCTGTTCCTAGCATTGTAAATCCTTTTCTCAGAAGTGAACATTGGCAAAGTTGTAAATTTCTCATAGTTCCCAATGATGGTCAGGTGAAAAAAGAAAGACCCCTTTATGAAGAAGGCCGGCATATTTGAAATTTTTCTTTTCCCTTGGACAATCCATAACCAGCCCAAATACTGGATCTCCAGAATTGGGGGAGAAAAGTCATTATTTTCAGTAAGACTTAAAGAAATAGACTAATATAGTCTATTTCCAAAAATTTTCTGTTTGTTAATGTTTAAATACCTTCAGACATGTAATTAATCATTTTAATATGCCCTAAAATTTGCTGTAGTGCTAATGGCAATAAATTAAGATAATCAATCAAATGAATGAAATGTTTCCAACCTAAGTGAGGGGCATCTGAAAAATAAACTAAAGACACAACTGTTTCTTTACCAACTTTAACTCTGTGCCATGCTCTATCGGGAACATAAATATTACATGGTTTATGAGTATTAAGAGTCTCATTTAGACATTTAATGTGTTTACTGTGAGAGAGATCTTGTTGCATAAATCAATTTTTATATTAAAAAAAGAAAACTTGATTAAAATTCTATCAGAAATCTGGACTCCATCAAAATTTAAAACTTTGGTTCTTTGAGAGACACTGCTAAAGGAACAAAGACAAGTCAAAGACCGGAAAAATACTTGCAAATGATGTATCTGATAAAGGACTTGTATCCAAAACGTAAAAAGAACCCTCGACACTCAACAAGAAGGAAAATAAAAGATCCAAAAGTTTCATTAGCCCCTCAAGGGAATCCAAGCCCTCCCCAAAATATTAAAGAGAATGTGCTGTTGTTTTTGTTGTTAGGTGCCGTCAAGTCAGTTCTGACTCATAGACCCTATGCACCACAGAACGAAACACTGCCCGGTCCTACACCATGCTCACAATCGTTGTTATGCTTCAGCCCACTGTTAAAGCCATTGTGTCAATCAATCCTGTTGAGGGTCTTCCTCTTTTTTGCTGACCCTGTACTTTACCAGAGTATGTGCTAGGCTTGGAGAATTTAGATGAACCAAATGCCCAACCTAGAGCCAAGCTCCCTGTACTGGAGCCTGTCTTGCAACATGTCTCCAAAGTTGCCATGGAAAGAGCCTATTCCTAAATAACCCTCCAAAGATGACAAGGACTCACCATTAAGTCCAAAAGCAGCCAGGGACAGGTCTTTATTTATCCTAGCTTTACCTGGGAGGGGTCTTAAATATATTCGATTGCCACGTGGGAGCCTTTTTCCTCTTGCATATGACTCAACGAGATGTGCTAATGAGACAATTCCTACAGTTCTTTTATGAGAGGCTTGTGTGGTGATGAATTAGAAATAAAATCACCAGCCCTGCTGAAGGGAATGAAGATCATAGATATATATCTTCCTCTCATTTACTCAAGAAATATTTGTTGACTACCTACTCTAAGTAAGACATTTGCTAGGGGCTGAAGATAAAATGGTGAGCAAGACACAGTGACTTCTTTAAGGATGTTAAAGTCTTGAGGAGGAAACTGAAAGACAGGCAAACAATACAAGTACTTCGAATGGGATAAACTCAGGGAACACAGAAAACGAACACCTGATCCAGTCTTGTGGAATCAGGAAAAGTTTCCTTAAAAAGTTAGATTTGAGACCTAAGGATGTGTAGGATTTGGCCAGAAAAAGAGTGGAGAGAAAAAAATACTTCAGGCACAGGAAAGAGTATGAACCCAGAGAGATGATGGAACATTCTGGAAACTGCAAGAGATGCACCATGGAGAATGTTCACGTGCAGGGAAAGTGGAGAGAACTGAAGCTGGAGAGGGCAGCAGAAGCCAGATTACAGATGACCTCATAAATACACTGAAGGAGTTTCACTGTATGCTGCTGGCAATGGTAATTTTCTATTTTTCTCAATTGTTTTTCACTGATACCTTAACTGTTGCTGTTGTCTGAAATCTCTGAAGTCTTCTATAGAAAAAGCAGGGCCAAGTTGGCCACTTCACTGCAGAGGTGGGTATCTAACGAATGCAACCAAAGAGGAAATAAAGTCCATTTCCCCCAGGGCATAGGAACTTCTTTGCCAGCAACACTAACTTTTGGAACACTGGGGAGCCATTTAGCAAATTATCATTTCAGTGCTGTCCTAATGGCCTGGAAACACAGCTTTAACCTACGTCTAAGCTCCTAGAGAACAGTTTACAAAGGAGTAAATCTGCTTCAATAACAATAATAATGGTAGAATATTAACATACCAAATACCCTTAGAGGAAAGGCTTTGGAGTTATTTTCCCAGATGAATTGACATTTCCTGTAAATTTCCTTTCCAGGAATCAACTAAAATCCTTTTTTTAATTAAAAATTTTCATCCATACTTCTATTCCGCCCCCCCCCCCAATTTAATGCATTTCTAGTCCTCACCTCTGCCTAGGCTGGCCCCCCATTTAAAAAAAAAAAAAGTTTTGAAAGAAAAAATTAACTTGTAAGTACTTTGAAAATCATAGCCACACCCTGTTAATACATAATCACTCAAACTGTGCAGCTATGTCATAAGTAGAAAGCCTCTGACTGTTTCTAAGTATCTCTGTTCTAGGGAATCCCAATTCTAGCCCAGTAGAAATTGTTTTAGTATTTTTAAGGAATACCCTAAAATATCTCCTTAAAGCAACAAGGCCTCCTCTCATTTTTCCATTTGGATGTTGTTTTTTTTCCTTTTCCAAAGCTGATGAGTCACCAAATACTTCCATGTGGCTTTTGCCACCAGCATAACCTTCACAGGAAACTGTCCAGGTTTTTGCACCTTCCCAAGATATGGCAATATCCAGAGGGCTCACCAAGGTGTGAAGACACTGTCTTCCCAAATTCCTACAAGAGCATCTGTACAAATGCATCAAGGTAAAGAGCTATATCCAATTTTAACGAATCTGATGAAGAGCTGTTATAGGAATCAAGTGCTGGATTACTTGGATTACTAAAATGATTCTCAAAGTTCTTTGATTTTAAAAATTATACTTTTAATTCTAGGATACTGTTAGAATAATACAGAAGTTGATAAACACTAGGATAACTGTAACCAATACCATAAGGAAAACTGCTCTACATACTTTTTCACTCACTCTCCACAACCATAGAAAACAGGCACAAAGCGTTCAGGGTATATGCAGCAGCAGCCAGGGACTTGGTAGCAGAAGGCATGCAAAAAGCATCAGCAAAGACAGTCCGATGCATAACTTCTACACAAAGTTCATTCAGCACAGCAATTGGCAGAAAGAGAGGAGACAGGGCTGGGCTGGTCCTTGCTCTTTGAACTTCCTAGCTGGAGTGTGCATGTGTGGAGATGGGTGGGGCACTTAGTAGCCTTTTCTTGAGCCTTTCACCTCTAAGAAGCCAAAAGCAGCAGCAGGAGCAAATTGGGGATTGGGGCAAGGAGAGTAGGGAAGGAAAAGGGGGTGAAATATAGCTAGGTCATGGAGATGCTGCCTTCCACGGCCACTCCCAAGTAGATGCCATTCGTGGCTCACAGAAGGAACAGAGAATATTCATGAAAATCATCAGCAACACTGGTATAGGACAAGACATATTCGAGTTCAATCACCAAGAACATGTAAGTCATTCAACAATAAAACATGAATACCCACAGTCTGATAGACTTTGTATAGAACAAAAGACATGATCCCTGCCCAGGTTTGTATTCAAATAGGAGTGGCAACATAAAGAAACCCCCTTGGGGGAGTGGTTCTTCATTTTTGTTACTTTCATGTTTCCGTCATTTGCAAATTATGCATGTAGTCCACAGAGCCGTGGGTCATAGTAACTCACTATAGTACACTACCCAAGAGAGACCACTGGCTCCTTTAACACCAAGTCCCAAAGAGCTATGGCAGAAGTATTCTTTTAAAATGTTACAACATTCACAATAAAGCATGGTAAAAATAACTTGGGACACTTTCAAAAGAAAATATATTCCTTACTCCAGTCCCATTCTCCTGGACACCAATTCCCTCCCACTCCAGCCCCCAAATGCTTGAATAAGCAGCAACATTTGGGCTATTTCTTAATTCCTACTTAGGCTGAGATAAGGAGAACTCACAATACTGGACTTAACATTAGGTCAACTCTTATTTTAACCACTTATATTAGAAGGCCTGGAGGATGGAAATACATTCCTACCTAGGTTCATTAATTCCTTCTGACTAGGCCAAGGACTTCTTCATTGCCAGTGAAGATAATTCAATCTAAGAATGGGACAATCAACGTATTTGTATGCTCCTTATCTTTCAGAATTACTGATACATATAAACAAGTGCTTAGTTCTATACAAGGACAGATCTTATAGGAGAATGCACACTAGAACACTAGTGTTGACTTTTTTTTTTTATACAGAGTGGGGGAAAAAGAACATTTGTCACATTGAAGTTATGCCTGTAGTTCTGTCACATGAACAATATCACCCAAGAACATGCTAAATCTGTGTGACTGGCAGTTTCAGCTACTGGAAAAAAACCACAGGAATACACATTTCACTGTATATACACATGCCCTTATATAAGCTAAGATAAACACTGAGATATGGCCCTTATCAAATTCTAGTGTTAGCAGTAAGGAGAACTGATCTTAACAGGTAGAGGGGAAAGAACACAGAAATGACCTGCATTCCTTGGGAAAGGACTCTGTGCTTCCTTCCTTGGTCAATTCCACTTGCTCCTTACACTCCACCATCACTCCATGGTCTTATCTTTCCTTGAAGATATTTTCCCTACAATGTTCCCTACATTGATTCCCAAAGAAAATTCATAAATGCTGATTAATGCCAATAACAAGCGGGCATCTCTTGCTAAAGTCACCGCTATTGACAGGTCCTTGGTCCCCAAACATGTCTCATTTTTCCTTTCAATCTGTACCTTCAGTTAGCTCTTATAAAGATGCAAGCTTTCCAAAAGTTTAAACAGAAACGAGAAGGAGAAAAGTTATGATCATTGCCTTCATCATGCAGAATCCTGTTCCCAGGAAGACAGAAAGATACAAATGCATGAGTAACTCAAGGAAAAAGCCCTTTGGAGGGGAAGATACATGTGCCTAATTACTATGGCATGTGAATAGGTGTGGCGATTCAGGTAGAGTCCCTGTTGCCTTTATCCAAAGCAGTCATGGCCACCCTATTACAGTCCCACATTTCCCCTAGCATAGTTCTTTGGGCCAAAGGATGGGAGAGATAACTTTTAAAGATTTACTCCATTTCCAGGCCTAAGCATTTACCAGCGTTTAGCCCCTGGTAACCAGATTTCCAGCAATTTGTAGGGCTGATGTTGACGAAGTAATTTACTGAGTGAATAAAAATCACTATTTCAGGGAAGGGAGTTACATTCCCGAATCTGTGGGTCAGAATTCCAAATGGCTTGTCTTCTTTGATGTTTAAATTGTGGCCCACAACTGGAAAATTCAGTATGCATAAAAAAGCTGTCTCGAAGGAGCTCACTGACATCAAATAAAATTGTACCTTCAACTGAATAATTTCTCAGTCATCATAATTACAGGACTTAGTCGGTGTGAACTCTCTTATGTTTAATAAGAGCGGAGCTACGGCTGAAACTTTTCTCGCATTCGGTACATTCATAAGGCTTCTCTCCCGTATGAACTCTCTGATGTGTGATGAGGTTGGAGCTCTGAGTGAAACCTTTTCCACACTGCACACACTCATAGGGCTTCTCTCCGGTGTGGGTTCTCTGGTGTTTAATCAGATCTGACCTTTCACCAAAGCTTCGCCAACATTCGTTGCACTCGTAGGGCTTCTCTCCAGTGTGAATTTTCTGATGTGTAATGAGGTGGGAGCTCCGGCTGAAGCTTTTCCCACAAGCATTGCATTCATATGGCTTCTCCCCAGTGTGGGTTCTCTGGTGCTGAACCAAGTGTGAAATGCGGCTGAAATTCTCCCCACATTCGTTACAGTGGTACGGCTTTTCTCCTGTGTGGGCTCTGCGATGGCGCACAAGGTCAGAGTTCTGGCTGAAATTCTTCCCGCACTCATCACATTTGTAGGGCCTCTCCCCTGTGTGAACTCGATAGTGTTTGATAAGATCAGATCTCTCACTGAAGCCTCGCCCACATTCATTACACTCATAAGGCTTCTCACCTGTGTGGGTCCTCTGATGCTGAGCCAGGTGAGAGCTCCGGCTGAAGCTTTTCCCACACTCCTCACATTCATACGGTTTCTCACCACTATGAGTCCTTTGGTGCTGGATTAGGTGAGAGAGCCGGCAGAAACTTTTCCCACACTCATTACATTTGTGGGGCTTCTCTCCAGTGTGTATTGTCTGATGCTGAATGAGGTGCGAGCTTCTTCCAAAGCTTTTTCCACACTCATTACAGTCATAGGGCCTCTCCCCAGTGTGTGTTCTTTGATGCTGAATAAGATGTGAGCTCCGACTGAAGCCCTTTCCACATTCATAACACTTATAGGGTCTATCTCCAGTGTGGGTTTTCTGATGTCGATTAAGATCTGAGATCTGACTGAAGGCCTTTCCGCAGTGAGAGCATATATGATATCGGATGCCTGTGTGGACTTCTTTGTGGACAAGCAAATCGGTGACTTGTTGCAGAGGATAGCTCACCCACTCTTCTGCCGTTAAATCTCCCCAATGTCTTTCCGATCTCTCCCCGCTTTCAAAGGCCTCTTCACTTTCAGGATTTTCCTCAGCATTCCCGACAGGCCTTTTAGATGTGGTCCCAAATTCTACATCTTCACTAATCTCCTGCTTTGGATTCACCTCGTTCTCGTTCCTGATCTCAAAATCTGTAATAAAGGGTAAACAATAGTAATACTTGAAAAAGCACAAAAATTTTTTTTCTACTGTGTACCAGGCAATGTGCTAAGTTTTCCACGTGAATTACCTCATTCATTATCACAACCATCCTAGGCATTATGATGATCTCCACATTATGAATGAGTAATCCAAGACCCAGAGAAGGGAAGTGACTTGCCCAAGGTCACAAAGCAGTAAATCGCAGAGCCAGGATTCAAACCCAGGCCTGTTTGATGAAAGTCCACGCTCTGTACCACTAGTTAATGCTTTCTTTTGAGAACTGTATAGATTACAAGTGTTTTGAAAGGAGAAAACAACCAGAAACAGAAAATATAACACAAACTCTAAATCAGTCTCTAAAAGCCAAGAGCCTACATGTTTTTATGTATATGTGTATTCTAATAAAAATATATATTTAATAAATCCAATAAATATATATATTTAACATGAAAAGCCTTCATTACCATCATATAATATTTACTAAGATCCTACTAAGTTAGCATAAAGAAAAGCAAATTTTATCTTTCCATGTTGTGTGTTAGTTGACAGGAAAAGTGACTGCTGAATATCACTTGTTACTTTCCAGTGGCTTTTTAATGAAATCAGGGGTGGGAGGGTTGAAGAAGGCAAAAGAGATGCCCGGCTCAGAACATTCTTGGCAATGACTAAGTATGTTTCATATACAGTCTTCAGGGGAAAATCAAAATATAAAACCACTGTCACAAGGAACTTTCAACTAGACATTGCATTTTCCCAATTGTTTTTTATAATACACTCTTCAGAAGGAAGTTACTATGTATGTCAGGAAAAAAAGAGTCCATGGATAAATTGGTAAAGGTACATACAACATCCTCGCCATAGACATTCACAATGCCTGATAACACATGAAAGATTTCAAGGAGTTATCAGGTAAAGAAGCCTGGTAAACATTATTTACCCACTCCCAAACTTATTAGCAGAAAAAGCTTTTTTTTTTTTTTTTTTTGTGTGGAACTTCCATTATCTTAACAAGTACTCCCTGGGCTGGACTACAGCAATATAAATTTACAATTCTTTAAGGTTTTATTTCTTGTTTTTGTTGGACTGGGTGGAATATGTGGGTGACAGACTGTGATAGATCATATGTTTGATTTTCTCAAGGAGAGATCCAAGAAACACGGGACATCAGAGAGAGCCCAAGTTAAAAACAAAACTCCTCACAGTTACCTTTTGTTCTGGAAAGGGCTATGAGAATAAAGATTTCAAAAAAAAAGGGTTAGTCCTCATACGTGGCAGATGACCTAGTGAACTATACACTGTTCCTAACTTCTGTTCAAGTATTAACAGGAAACAAAATGAGTCAAAAGACTGTTTAGCTTAAGAATATACTGCTTATTCTAGTTACATCAAGATCAAAGGATAGCTAACAGAGAAGACAGGTTTGCAAACCATCAAAAAATTAGCTTCCCTCTCTAATGATCTCATTTAGTTCAAGATTCTCCTAGAACATCCAACACTTGAAATCTATAATCAACTCTGAAACATCTCTAGACAAGAACCTACTCCAGATAATAAAGGACCTGAGCCAAAGTTAGGGCTCTGAAGCCAAAACAAGCACAAAAAGGTGGTTTTTGCCCTCTCATGAACCTGGGTTAGAACCCTCTCCCTCATCTCCTAGCACCTCAGAGTAAAAGCACCATTTACAGGGCGTTTATATCCTGGCAAGCACCATTATGTCAGACCTGTTTGGTCAGTGATCTGTACAAACAGGCTGGAGAATGGTAAATGACTCAGGGCACAAGAAATCTGAACAGTTTTAAAATGTGCAGAAACATTCTTTCTTTTTAGACAATATGACCAGGTGGATGTTTCTACATTCAAAGATTTGCCGGAGGATGCAACCCAAGCCAAAATCCAATTAAGTGCTTTAAAAACCAAACAACCAGGTTGTGCTGAAAGAGCTAAGTCATTTTGATGGTCTTAAAAACCTGGGGGTGAATAAAGGTAGAATCATTACCTAATGAGACAACATTTCCATAGTTCTCCTGCATAACATCCCTGTAAAGGTCCCTTTGTGTAGGGTCCAGAGGTCTCCATTCTTCCCGGGTGAGGTACATGGCCATATCTTCAAATGTCACAGGTGCCTGAAATTACACAAATGCTTCCTTACTACTTTGTAGCTAGGGGATTAGCCCAGTTTTTCTTCTTGAAGTTAGAGACATGGCAAGAAATGTTGAGAAGGCAAGCAACAAGGTTTTAAGTCTGAGCTACAGAGTCCAAAGAAATAAGCAAAAAGGAGGTATGGTAAAAAGGGAAGCAATTTATGAGCTGGCTGCTCTGGTCCCATGGCCAGACATCCCTGCCCTACCCCAGAACCTATCCTCTAGCCATACCTTTCTCAGAACACATCTAGCACTTACATCGTTCCATACCTCTACTCGCAATCTTCCTCTTTTCCTATATCTTTCTCAGACTAGTGAAATTCTACTATTCTGTGCCCATGCCAACTGTTCTTAATGCTCGCCCCCTCCTTCCACTCTGCTCCTCCCTCGGAACCCCTAGACAATATTAATCACTCTCACATCTTGGTTCCTACACCATAGCACTTGGTCCTACTGCAAGTGGAGCACTTATCACGTTGTATCACAGTTAACCGATTGCGTGTGTCTCCCTACAGACTGGGCAGGTGGGGAGGATCCGTCTCATCCATCTTTTGTCCCCTCAGTATTTAAAAGCATACAGCAAGTACTCAATAAATGCCTATTTGTCGCTATACTAGTCTGGTACTAGGCCCCTGGAGGCAAAAAACCGACGCGAGTGAATTAACCCCAGGGAATTTCCCACAGGGGTTTGCAAAGCAGAGAAACGCCGGGACGGGGTGGATAAGCAGAGGCAGGGTCCAAGAAGCCACCCCCGGCTTACCTGGGACCCAGCCATGAGCAGGGTGGCTGCCATCTCGGGCGCAAGGGTTCGCTTCCCGGGAGAGAGAGCAGGAAAAGCAGCGAGCAGACAGCGCTGAAGGAAGGGAAAAGCAGGGCGTGAGGCACGGAAAACAGGCCCTGCCCACTCCCCAGGGCTGGAGTTCTGGCTGCAAGGCGAGCGGGGATGGCCTTGCACTGGGGCCGGGTCACTCTCCTCCCTGACCCTTGAGCGAAACCCGCCCTCTGCGTCTCCGCCACCATGGGGTGGAGGCACTGCTGGAATCCAAGAGGACAGCCCCCTAGCTCGGTCCCTCCCGGGCCGGGAGCCAGGCCGATGCGGTCTCAGGGAGGAGGCTCTTAGCCCAACCCACGGAACGCCTCCGCTCTTCCATCTCGAGGCTAGGCCCTTTCCGGCAGCTGGACCAGCCAATCAAGGGGTGATGTTCACAGAAGGCTCTGCCAATTAGATACCGGAGACTAGGCCCGCCTCCTGGAGCGTGGCTAAGCACAAGTATTACGCCTGCGCCTGCTCCCGTAGGCTGCCGGGAGTTAGAGTTCCATTCCGGCGTACAAAAGCCAGTCAGAAGCCAAAAGCCGAGGAGGGGAAAGGACAAAAGGGTGAAGAAGTGCGTCCTCCTAGCCGGGCGGAGTATCTTTCGCTTTCTTCTCTTGGAAACTGCTAGATCGATTAAGCCGAGGAAGTTGCCCTGCCTCTCCTCACGTCCTTAGAAGCTTCTTTTGAGTCGGCCCTTAACTGCGACGTCGGACCCAATTTAGGCGTCGGCTGGAGTTGAGCTCCTATGGGATTGACCTTTCTTTGACAAGCTAGGCGCTAGAGGAAAGCCGCAGCCGCCTACTTCCCGGGGCCGACCCGCCAGCGGCGCTGGAACTTTGAGCCCCGCCCACGACTACATCTCCCGGCAGTGCCTGCGGCATGCGCACCCTGCTATGCAGACTACAACTCCCAAAAGGCTCTGCGCCAAGCGTCCGGCTCTCTTGGACAGCCGGCGTCTGGGCCTCATGTTGTCCCAGCCCCATCACTGTTAACCCTGTCAGAGCGAAAACCCTGAGGGGAATCAGAAGCTGGGGGAGTGAGGTTAGGAGAGGTATGCATAGAGAAGAGAGCCAGAGCCCAGGGCAGGGAAGGGCCGTCCTTATCCTCCCTTAGGGTTCGTCTGCTAAAATTTGTTTCTGGCGGCCCCCAGCACAGAAGGGCCTCTGAACGCCTGAGACCGGTGGGACCTCAGAATGTTAGCAGCCCCTGTCCGGCTGAAGGTAGAAAGCCGAAAACCCGAATTAGGAACGAACAGACTTACCTCCTGGGCCCACGAAAGATCCAGTAGATCTCCGGCTGCAAGATCCAAGAGGCCTCAAATAGATCCTAGAGCTGCAGGCAGAGTTCTCTGAGACTTCGGGCGTTCGGAGAGATAATAGAGACCACTGGCTTATCCCGGAGGTCTCAGATCCGCAGGTAGATCGCGAATTCGTCTATTTGCACGCAAAGCCCAGGGATCGTAGGTTAATCCCAAAGATTCGCAGATTCCCGAGACCTCAGACTCTGAGGCAGCGCAGAGAAACCACAGGCTCGTAGGCAGATCCCTGAGACCACAGCGGCTGGCCAAGAAACACCACCAACAGCTAAAGTTCCTCTGAACGGAAGGACTTGCAGCCTTCCCTTTCTCCAGCAAAGATGAGGGGATTAGACAATGGAAGCTGAACACTAGGGCAAGCAGGCATTCTGCGTGGGGAAGAGCTCCAAGCTTGCTGTAGCCTTGGAGAGGGAAGTGATGGAAAAAGAATATAGCAGTTTATTAGGGACTCCCACCCTCTTCAAGTTATAAATATCCCCAGAACCTTGGCTACATGCCCGGAAGCCTGTTGTCTCTAACTGTACAGGAGACTTCTCTGCCTGGGCTGGGAAAGGAGCTTTTCTTTTGTTTTGCAGATACATCCACCCACTGAGTGACTTGAATAATTTTTTTTTCAAACATGACTCCAGGCCATGCTTTTATTAGTGAGTGTCCTGTTCCCAGTGCCCAGTTATTTATGGTTAAATTACTCAAGTGTCTAAAAAGAACTAGGACCCTACCTAGCCATGAGACGGACTCCCCCACTCTCAGACCTCTTCCACATTTCTTCCCCCAACTGAGGGACTAGAAATTCTTTAGATGCCATAAAATTGTACCATCCTCCCCATCTAAATTCGATCTGGGCACCACAATAATGGAATATTGGAGGGTCCCCAAGAGACAATGTCCCCGTGGGCCTCAGGGTCAGAAAGACCTGGGTTGGCATCTAGGCTGTGTATCCTTTGGAAAGTCATTTAATGTTTCCAGGCCCATTTCCTTTTCTGTGAAATGGGAATAATCACTTTTATGGTTGGTGGTGAGGACTATGTGAGATGACCTAAAGCACTACACACAGAATGAGCACTGATGATAGCTGTTATTATTATTAATCCTGCCTTCCAGAGAGGGAGGCTTCCAGAAGGCCCTGAGGGTGTTTTCACTGGCTCAGAAAATCTGGGAAGTCAAAGTGGCTCCATAGCTGTGAGGATCTGCTGGTGACCTTATCCTCACATTGAGTTTCTGCTGGAAATCCAGAGGGAACTGAAGTTGGGCCAATTTGGTGCGTAGAACCAGCAGAGCGGAGGTACTTGAGGCTGTAAGTTGAGGCCTTACGCTCAGGGAAGCTTCCAGGTCAGGGGTTAGTAACCTAACTTCTAGGAACAAGGGAGAGGAGGATCATTTCAGACTTTGGTTTAGTAACTGCAGGTTTCTAACTAGACCTAAGGCCGAGTTGGCCTGAGCCCTCAGCCCAGCGGGGCTCCCTTTTCATCCTTTCTCTGACAGATTGCTTTGTAAACTTTCTTAGGCCTTTTCTCCCCCTTGCTCCAGTGCTTTAAGCCCTTCTTTGTTCTCTCCCTGTTTCTTTAATTCCTCAAGCCTGCCTGCGGGCAGGTTGACTGTCTGAGCCCAGCTTGGCTGCCCACCACATTCAGTGAGTAAGTGCTTTTCTCTTTCTTCACCTGGGACCCTCCAGAGGGTGGAGAAGAGAGGCTGAGAGCGAATGGAAAGCACGGCTGCATTTGGAGCCCATGGGGGGAGGGAGTGGAGAAGAGGAGGAGGAAAGACACTGGCTGAGGGGCTTCCTGTTGCAGCTTTCAGCTGGACTTTGGGGGTTGGGGTCACTGGAGGAGGAGGTGGCTTCCTGCTCCATTGTTCGGGACTTCAGTGTTTCTCAGGAATAACTTAACCGTCTGTGAGTTTTAAATAACCAACTTGTGAAATTGTCCTTATTCCTATCATTCAGCAAACAATGAGCACCTACTGTGTGCAGAGGCAGCAGCAGAGCCTATCACTGGGGAAAGGGCCAAGGGAGCCATTTGTTCTCCAGTTTAGGCGTTTGACATTTTGTCAGATCCACTGACCCATCCTTAAACTTGTGTCCCATTACGAGACCAGTGTGCCTATAAGTGATTATATTTTCATAAATCTTATCATTATCTTGGAGCCCCGGTGGCACAGTGGTTAAGACTGGCTGCTAACCAAAAAGGTCGGCAGTTCGAATCCACCAGCCACTCCTTGGAAATGCTATGGGGCAGTTTCACTCTGTCTTATAGGGTAGCTATGAGTTGGAATTGACTCGATGGCAATAGGAATGGGATCATTATCTTGTGAACAGCACAGTTATGTTGTAATGTTTGTGTTAGAAGCATTCATTTGTGAAATATTTAAAAATATGCCTTAATTGTTGTAATCCTGTTTTGCCATCTCTTCATTTTCAAATATACCAGAAACCTCAAAAAAGTGAAGTGCCTATGCTTCTCTTGACCTCTGAGAGGGCTGCTAGGAGTGGGAAGGAAGACTCATCACTGCACAAGGAGAGTTGGGGGCAAGGATGACACACTGACTTGCAAGCAGTCATGCAGTCCAAGCCCTATAGTATAGGGATAGGCTAGTCTTCACTGAGGAGGAGGCAGGCTCACAGCTGGTGGGTGAGGGGGAGGCTTCACAGAGGAGGTGACATCTGAGCTGGCTAAGACTGTGTAGGAGTTTGCAAGGCAGAGAAAGTGGGAGGGAGAGCATTCCAGACTTTGAGAACAGCATGTGCAAAGGCACGGAGGCGTGAAAGGACAGAGCATGTTCCAGAAGTGCCAGGATTGAGTATGGCTTGAGGGAAGAATGTGGGGGTGGAGCAGCAGGGGGCAGAAGCAGAGCAGGGACAGTTTCTTATGTCCCCTTGCCTGCTTGCCTGCGTATCTCTGCTTCTGGCTGTGGATCAGCAAAGCTGGTGATGAGATGCAGATGGGGGGAGGCCTGAGGTCTGGCCTGGGGTGAGAAGGGCAGATTGACTTCATGGATTTCAGTTGATTTTCTCCAAGGAGAATCAACACTTTCAAAAACATTCTGAACAACTGCATTAAAAATGTACAACAGACTTATTTAATATTGTTTCGCTTACTCTAAGGACATAAAATAGGCCCATTTTCACTGAACATGTTTACTGTGCCCCTATTCTGTACCAGACTCTGAGCTGGGAGACAGAACACGGCTCCTCACAATGACTGCAGGGCTGCTGTAAGGATTAAATGTGAGACTGGCTTCAAAACGCATCATCCTGCTGGGCACAGAGGAGGGGCTTGGCAGAGGTAAAGCATATTACAGATGCTCTGTGAGGTGAAGCATATTTCAGAGGGGTTCAGAGCATGACAGAGGGCCTGAGTTCAAATCCAGCTTCTGTCTCCTAGAAGCAAATTACTCTCTCAACCTTGATTTTCTTGGTCTGCAAAATGGGTATAATACTAGTAACCTAGTTCACAGGGTCAGAAGATTGGCTGAGACAATCACCTACACTCAGAGTAATAACCATAGCTGTCATTACGTGTCAGGCATGATTCTAAGTACCTTCCATGTATTAACTTAATGAATTCTCACAAAAACTCTCTGAGCAAGGTGCTGTTATTACCACCATTTTACATACGAGAAATACAGGCATGGAGAAATTATATAATGTGCCCAAGGTACCCAGATAATAAGTGCTCAGTAATTAACAATTTTCACTGACGCCATCATACAAAGAAATATTAAAGAAATCATCACCATCATCATCATCACAGTAGAATGCAATGCGTGCTGTGAGAATTTCACAGTGCTGTGGGAGTTCTTAGGAACCATCCCCCTGTGGCCACAGAAGATTTCACAGATGTGCATCCAAGGTAAGCCTTGAAGAATGAGTAAGGCTTTGACACAGTGGAGAAGAACAGTTTAGGAGGAGGAAACAGAATAGAGAGTTACAGGTGGGAGGGCCCAGCCTGTATTCAAGAACAGGGCAAATACCTCCCTTATGCTGGAGCATAAGAGGCAGCAGGAGTGGGAGAGAAGTCACCCAAGACAGTGGAGGGGACCTTTGAAAGTCAAACCGGAGTTTGGATTTTATTCCATACCTGGTGGAAATCCACTGAAGATGACTGGGGAAATGATATGCCCAGAGCTATACCAGGCAGATGCAGGTAAGGTAGGGAGTGCCTTTGAGTTAGGAGACCAGTAGAAGGCAGGTCTTTGCACCAGTTCAAGGAAGGGAGGAGGGAGAAGGAAACATGGAAGATAGTGTTGATGGTGATGGCAATGGAGAGGAGAGTTGGATGAGGGAGAGACTGTAGAACTGGTAACTGATAAAGTGAAGAGGGAAAGGGAGAAAGGTCAAAGATGGTTCTAAGGAATGAACTAGTTGACAGAAAAGACAGAAGAGGAGACTTAACAAAGAGAAGATGTTAATTCAGTTTCAGATTAATTGTATTTAGAGGGCCAGTGGGGTACTTGGTGATGTAAGTCTTGAGCTCAAGAAAAATCAGGGCTAAAGATTAAGATTTGGTAGTCTGGATGAGACTACTAAGAAAGACTTCTCATTCTAGATAGTATTTTAGGCTCCTGTAACCTTTGGAAAGGAGCCCTGGTGGTGCAGTGAGTGGTTAAGTGCTTGGCTGCTAACCAAAAGGTCTGGTTCGAACCCACCAGCTGCTCCGTAGGAGAAAGACAATGGCAGTCTGCTTTTGTAAATATTACAGCCTTGGAAACCCTATGGGGCAGTTCTACTCTGTTCTATAGGGTTGCTATAAATTGAAATTGACTTGACGGCAATAAGGCGGCGAGGAGCCTTTGGAAAACATCTAAATTGGTCACGGGAGCTTGAATGTACTTTTGTTTTCAAGGTCTTTTTGGCCACAACATTCCTGGCAAGACCTCCACTCCAAACATGTCGCCTTTCTGCTTCCTTTCACCTAACCTCGTCTTTTCTCTTTCATAAGGTAACAATCTCCCCTCCCCTAGGAAGTCTTCCTGCGAGGGAA